GACCTTATTGGGACTTATACATTCTGGCTGACAGCGTAGTAAATTTCTTAAGAAATGTAAAATGTCCAGTTGGCACCGAGGCATTTTAACACACAAACGTGTGGCTTATTGTAAACATTCAGGTATATACCTTGTCTTTTGTGTCACATATATGCTTTATGACTGCCGTACGAGGGAGAGAAAGATGAATTTCCTCGTAAAACGTGAACTGCTGACTTGTTTGTTTTCGCTTTGCTCGTGGAGGTGGAAAAACATCCAGATCCTAAAGTCGTATTTGCATGACTCATTTTACTGGAAGTAATAGCAATAAATTCGGTACCAAAAGAAAGTAAGTTACATAAATTTAACTGTACAGCTGTAGGCATAAATATTCAGTGTCTGGCAAGAAGCTCTCCATGTTTGAGACAGCACTAAAATACTGCTCACAGCTCTTTTAGGACCTGCGTATGCATTTCAGTTCAATATATTTACATACAAATTTCAGAAGTAATTTTTGCACCGTGTGCGTTTATGATAATTCACCTAAATTGTGAACGTTCCAGGCTGCAGTTCCAGTTTCATCTGTATTTCCCCTGTATTAAAGGTGACAGCCTTGGCTGTGTTTTCTTCGTTCGGCAGTGGATTTGTATTGTTGATGGCATTGCCGTTGTATTCATCTTGCATAATTTGTCAAGCGGCGAATTACATGCGTGGGTCCTTCACCTCCGATAACTGCAGTACTAATCTCAGATAAACAGTGTGATAGCCTGAGGTCTTACTCAACTCCTCCTGATTATTACTGCTGGGACTGGAAGACTCAGCGCAAACACACACACACACACACACACACACACACACACACACACTTGCTTTCTCATGCCTTTCCCAATACAGTGAAACTGGAAATAGTCTGTTCCTAGTGGGCACTTCACCTTTTAGTGTTGTTTGTGTTGAGTTTGTAGTCCCCAGGGGACAACAATGCAGTGAATTGATAGTATCCTCTATATTTAGTGTGGAGTGTGTGCTTCCCTCTGTATAGAGAAGTAGGTCCTTCTGTGTGTGTTTGGATATATTGATCACCTGGTAGAAGATGTGTTCAGGTGCACTGAAAAAAAATTCTACTACATTTTTTTAAGGTAAGTGGTTGCAAACAATTTATTTTAGCCACATTAAAAAAAGGTTGAAAGTTAGTCAACTAAATTTGTTTATTTAAATGTAGCTCAAATAAATTGATTTCAACCACTTACGATAAAAAATTTAGTAAATTCAATGACTAATTTTTTTCAGTGTGGAATGTGACGATATCAAATTGTCATATCACGATAATTGCTAAAGCTTTTTAGTATTGAATTAGGTTGCAGAACTTAAGTGTTACCCTCTTAATAACAAGTTTAATAACGTTTTTATATAACAAAATAAGCATTTAAATTCAAAATGTATAAACAAATGTTTAAAACTGATTAAAGTACAAAAGAACACAACTATAAAGAACAATAATAAGGAATCAAGGGTTAAATCCTAGAATTTCCTAAGTGGAATTCTTGAAAAATGTGTTTATAACATTTTAAATATGGATCTTTTTCTTAAAAAAACGCATCGATTCGCTACAGGAGGCATTTATTCAACCTCCGGAGCCATGTGAGGCACTTTTTTATTATGGATGGATGTGCTTTATTTGACTACTTTTGGACTGTTGAAAAAACACCAGCCATTCTAAAGCTTGGAAGAGCAAGGATAATTTTTAATATAATGAAAACGATTGTAAATATGCTTTCGATTGGGGCAAATTAGGTCTGGTTTTGCGCTGTGTTACGCGAACTGCGGCAGCACGCACAGTCTGATCTGGACTTTGGCTCTGGTTCAGATTCACGATCGCATGGAGCGGATCATATGCATGAGTCGGCATATATGAAACACTTTTAAAACTACACAGCCTCAGCATGAATATGATCACTATTTTGTTTTACTAAGGGTGGGTTGCACCAACAAGGATTAAGATTTAATCTAGATTAAATCAAGGTTTAGCTAATAATTCTGTTGCACCAAACTTTAAACCTTGTTTAAAAATAAGCAGGATTACATTTAAACCATCATCTTGATCCTGGATTTAATTTATATTTAAGATAGATTAACTTTAATCATGTTGCTCCATAACTTTAAACTCAGATTTCAATCTCAATTAGGGATTCATTTTAAATTTACAGGTGAGGAGGTTTAAATGAAATAAAGTGCACCTACAGTTACAATTATGTGGCTGATTAAACAAAGAAAACAGTAGAGGGTGTGTTGTGAGGTCTCAGGTGTTTATTACAAATAAAATGGAAGATTTAAGTGCATTGAGCCAGCAGATTGTGAGGGTCTTTGCAGCCCGTAGTAAACTCGCGTCTGCTATCGAGTCCGGGATGTGAATCCGTCACTCATCTTGGTGCATCTCAGCGTACAACAAAGAAAACAGAAATATACTGTATAGCATTTAACGGCAGCGGTGATGATGAAGTGAGCGCCAATGATCGCGGCCACGGCTCTCGTTTCTCACGCCGTTTGAATAACGATAGCAGTTTATTAAGACGGCAGATATTTTACAAGTTTATTTCCTTTTTTGACGCGAGCAACTTTTTATGTCAGAAAGAGAGTTTAGTAGTAAGCAAAGAAAAGTTATGAATATTAGCATTGCTCCTGTTCAATTGCAATGGCGAAATCCATCATGGCGGAGAAAATTAATCGTAGATGGAGGTTTTAACCGCAGGTTAGAGTTCTAATCCCTGATTTGTTAATCTGTGTTTAAAATTAAGTGGTGCAACACAACTCGACTTAAAATAAAACCCAGATCAACAAATCCTTGATTAGCTCTAATCTTGGCTTAATTTAATCCATGTTGATGCAACCCACCGTAAGAGTTTCATATTGAATCTAGGGGTAATCTACGGTGGCTGAGAAGTGCAAAACAAATCACAATTCTGAAAACAAAATAACAAATTGCAACCCCAAATGCAAATCTAAAAAACAAAATAATAATTCAGAAAACACAACGACAAATCCAAAAAACAAAATAACAAGTCAGAAAACACAACGGCAAATTAGACAAACCGGAAGAGGTAGGTATAGTTTGAGACAGCGCCATTGGTTTGAGAATAGATTACTCACCGCTGACTGGGCGAGACATCTGTCAATCAAGGTATACAGGAAGAACAGCAGAGTAGTGGTAGAAAGTTCGGAGATGGTATTAAAGTAGCACAGTTTAAATGTATTGAATGAATTGACCTTACTATGGAATAAAAAATATGCATGTATATTTACAACACTGTACTGTATTGCATTTTATTACCTGTATTATTACACTGTATTATATTACCTTTGAATCAGAATACAAAAAAACTAGTTAACGCTAATGCGAGGGTGTTTCTAATACAGCGTCTATGGGAGTGATGGTAAATTTGACATAGTTCTCTCTTCTGACTGCCGTTATCAGTATCTCTCTAATTTTTTTTTCTTCTTTTCATAAGTTGTGAAAACACTATCGTGGGTTTTTCTTTTGCTATTTGAGCAAATGGGAATGCAAAAAAAAAAAAAAAACAGTCAGAGGGGGGTTAAATTAGGATTTTTTTAATGTGGGGCGGAGATAATTTAAAGGGGATAATATAAATACAAAATATTAAGAGTTGAACAGTCTTTTTATTAGGAAAATTCAACGAATTGAGTAAAAATGAAAATTGATTCTCTGCCAGTAGGAGGCGCTTTTGGAACGTTTTCCCTCGTAACAGCTGTACACAAAAGCTGCACGGCTCTCATAAATGCTACTTTATCAGGCAGTATTCAGGCATTATAATTTAGATGAGATGAAAATCACATAGAACATTTGAGAAACAACCCTTTTTTGGTCTGCAGAGACCTATACTTAGACTTGTCGTTGTTTTCTGACTTGTTATTTTGTTTTTGGATTTGTCGTTGTGTTTTCTGACTTTTTATAATGTTTTTGGAATTGTTGTTGTGTTTTCTGAATTGTTATTTAGCTTTTTAGATTTGCATTTGCATTTGTAATTTGTTATTTTGTTTTTAGAATTGTGATTTGTTTTGCACTTCTCGGCTACCGTAGTAATCTATTAGATTGTGGCTGTCAAATGCGGCTTTACCGAGCTCAGCGGCTCTGGCCCGAGCAGATATAAAAAAAACCGCTATTGGCTATTTTAAAAAGGGGGCAGGTTGCGCGATATGTCCCGCCCTGTCTTCCTGTTTCAGTTAAAATTGCCACCACAGAATAATGCTGCATGTTTCAAGGTACTCCAGGGGACCTTTAAACAAGTCACTTGTTAAATGTCTTTGCAGAAAAGATGCATGAACTACAACTACATCTTGTATAAACTTGTCTTATGCATTTTATATATTCAGAAATAATACGAGGAAAATGCTTCAAAAAAAATCTCAAAAGTCAAGGTAATTCAGTTACTGAAGTTATAACACCAGTAGACTATTATTAAATATAAATGTTCTGTAAAAACAATGAACAGCATCTTTCATCCTGTCACCATGAGTTACAGTTTTTTTTTTTTTTTTAATTCAAATGTGTTGCTTTTCCATTGTTTTTGCTGTGTAAACATGGATGCGTTTGACTTTTGCGCTCGCATCTCTTGCTGTGTCTCTTGCATAAAACAGCATTCTAAAAACGCAGCTCTCCAGTCCGGTAATATTTCTTTTCAAAATCGCGATTCCTCGATTTCTAAAAAAAATACAATTGTGGCAAAACTTTCAATTTGAATTAATCAATAAAATCTGAAAAATCGCCCAGCCCTGCCTTAAAGGGTTGTCCACCATGAACTGAAAATCTTCATACTTTATGCTTCATTACTGTATGTAACTATGACCATTTCAAACAGTATATTGAGTGTAATGTAATGTAATGTGCGGCAGACAGGCAGTTGTTTAATTTGCAGATATCTTAAGATGGGTTATGTTTGTGTCAATCAGATGGACAGTCAGAGCAGATGTATAGAAGAATGATTTTGTTTTCGTTTATCTCTTCTCAGGTATGATTGAGGTGGTGTGTAATATCTTTGTGGAAGTCTCTGGTGTGAGACTGGAGCGAGAAATGCACTCAGGGCTGAAGAGCTGCTCTTCTCTGCTCCTCTGTCTGCTGGACATCATCCACTGCCTGCTCAAAAACCTTTCGTCTGTAGTCCGAATGGCCCTGCAGGTAACATTCTCTCTTTTTCAGTTTTGATTTGCTAGCAAATGTACAAGTAATTGTACATATGTATAGTCAAAGCATTTGCTGATTTGTTGCATACAAAGAAAATAATGCAAAGACAAACTTTGTGCAAAACAACTGACGTAAGTTAAATAAAAATATAAAAAGACACAATATGTAGAGTTTCTAAATTATGAATCATTCTGTGAAAGAATGTTTCCCTGATGCGTGTGTATTATGTTAAAGGGCAGCTCTGTCTCATTTTGGTCTAATTATAGTGAAAAGAAAAGGCAACAATCCCTGTTCACACGGATCCACAAAAACTCTGAATAATGCTTGCTGGGTAGTTGGCGATGTCAGTTACATAATAGGCATGCACATAATGTTGCCATTTTCACAAATTTGCATTTCCATAGTTTATATGGAGCGGATTTGCACTTGCACTTTGCAAACTTGCACTTTGAAACCGGCTTTTAAAAGTTTAAATGGCCAGAACGCATAAAATGTTTGCCATTTTTAGTTGAAAACGGTGTTGTGTAAACACCCCCGTTGAAACTTAGTTTGTCTTCCAGCAACATTAGTTTGTGGCCAACACTCCACACTTGAAGTGCACTTTATAGAATTTTTAGTGTGAACTATTTATACAATTTATACTATAAATTCTATAAAATGTAGATGAAAATGTTTTCTAAACAAACACAAACTCATTTAGATCTACTGTAAAGTATATTCTACTCTGAATCTTCACTCCCCACATTTTTCTCAGATCATGTGAAAATTATCTTTGCAGACAGATACAAAACATTTCGCCTACAATTCGCACCTTTCTAAGAATAACTTTTGGGCAGAGTTTGCACCTCTTCCTTTTTCTGGACCCTCAGCTGTACTTTTCTGTGGATTTTCTCTGCTGCATCTGAAATCACTCACTGTCCGAGTAGCTTTTAGGAAGAACTTTGTGACTGTTAAAGAAGTATTCCTGTGCATGAATAAATTATTATCAAGCATGTGTGGTATGAATGCAATTTGAATGTACAATATCTATAGGTATAGAGCTATAGAGTGAGTTGCGTCATTTCATTGCCATTCACGGCTCTTCTCGCATGGCCTATGGATCGTCAAGTGTCCATTGGATTTGAACTAGTAGCAAAAATAGTAGATCATCCAGGTATGTTTTTTGCCTACTCTTTTATGAATATTGTGAATTCAGACTTAGTGTTTAAAGCAAATTATTGGCTCAGAGCAAAATTTAGGACTAAAAGGAGTAGTTTCTTCCACTGTTAGAAGGAAAAATTCAAGTGATTGCGTCGGTGCCGCATGCGCGCACACAGTTAAGCATTGCTACCTTGACAATGCAGCCTGTTCATTATCATAATAAAATACAGTCAGTCAAACATATGGGGAAAAAACTATGTTGTAAAAAAAAGTAGTAAAATCTGTGCCGTTAAGTGTTATCACAGTACCACCGTGATGTTATGCAAAACATTTTGTTTTACGTGGATATTGGAAAACATAGGCCTAATAAATTATAATTTGCCATTCAAATACATCGCGAATACGGAAACATTTGATTTTGTGTGGAATGAGAGACCCAACGTTGGTTTCAGTTTCGTTTTAGCCTAAATTAATTAGCTTTGGCTTGTCGTTTATATTGCTATAGCTTCTTATATTTTAAATTCTTGTTCTTTTCTAAATACTGTTAATTGAAAGGATTT